TTTGTGGGAAAAATTATCTTAAGTGGACATTTCAATACGATTGAACTAACGAAAAGTTAAGAGAAAAATAATGACAAAAGAAAAAGTGTTTCATCATCATCCGGCATGTCACGCTCTGAACCTGTGTCAACTCTTACTGTTAGAACTGAATAAATAGCCTGGGTAAAAATTGAGATATTTCAATCTTGTCCCGTGCTAATGCATGTCATCCTCAACCCTTGTTTGCGTACCATTTTTTTTTTAAATATCCCCACAACAAAAGAAGAGAATACATTTAATTTCACTTTTTAGTCGGTTGTAAATATATTCTTCATAACGCGTCATTAATGACATTACAGCAACGTCATGTATTTTTCCCTTGTCGATTCTCCCCTTTTGCTTCCTTTCCATCTGTCATGTTAGATTTTCATCATTGTTGGGGTGTGTTTGAATCTAATTTTGAGAAGAATATAAAATTTGGAATAGTGATTGATGTGTGAACGTATGATGGAAAAGTGACAAAAAGTTTTTGATTTGTGTGTAATATTATTTTATTTGAAAAATGTGTGGTTGAAATGAAAAATGAGAATGAAAAAGAGAAATTAATGGATGTCAAACGGGGGCTTTATCTCCTTTAATTCTTAGCTTCCCTTTGTAAACAACACAAACCCTAACAAAAAAAACCAACAAATTTCATTTACTCTGCTTCGTTACAGTTGATTTCTTCTTCTCTCATTTCTGTGATCTTTAGCCAACAGATTCTCCTTTCTATTTCATGAGAAATTTTGTTCTACGATTTTCAACTTCTTCTCGGCGACATCTGCTTTTTCGTTCTTTCCCTCTCCAGTTTTCTATTTGTTCTTCTGATTTCTTCCTTTTTCGGTAAGTAAATATCAAGTTTTTGCTATGAATCTTTGGTATGGTTGATGGGTATACCATTTATTTCAATATTGCCATTTTTTATTTATTTTTTTCTATTTTCGTAAGTAAGAGTATGTTTGGGAGAAATTTTTGTGGGATTTTAATCAAAATTATAGCCGTTAAAGTCAACCCGTGGGCTCCACTTGTGAGAGAGAAGGTCAAAAATGGTGGCTGATTTGATAGTTAACGGCTAGATTTTTTATTAAAATCCTGATTAAAATTTCTCCCAAATAGGGCCTAAATTGAGTTTACGTGTAAAATTATTTTATTAGAATAATGTATGATTGAAAATAAATCTAAAAAATGATTTTTTAAACAATTGAGCTCAAATAGAGACTTAAGTTAAACTTTTGATCTAAAGACGAGGTGTTTTGGCCAGATAAATGATGGGGAAAAACTCGATAACTATGAGTTTGATATATTCTTTACGTGATTGTACTTAATTCTGTCATAAAATAATTAGATCATTCCCAAGTCAGTTATTCTCGTTCGATCATACTGCGTGTACATCATCTTTTTCATTATATCACGTGACAACGCATCACTAGACAGTTTAAAAAAACAAATTTCTCACTTGCAATTTTTGGAGAATAGAGAGAATATCATTGAGAATGTAATTCAACAAATGTACGTTTAGTCTTGATTCTCGTTATATTTCTAAACTTTAAACTCGTAAGAAAGAAAAAAAGGAAAGAGTAATTAAAACAGAAGAGAGAATATCATTGAGAATGTAATTAAACAAATGTACGTTTAGTTTTGTTTCTCGTTATATTTCTAAACTTTAAACTCGTAAGAAAGATAATAAGGAAAGAGTAATTAAAACAGAAAAAAGAACAAAGTAAAAGTAATTCTTCAGACTGCCAAAAATGCCTTTTCTTTTGCGTGCAGTATGCGCAATAAGCACTCACACGACAATCATTTCCATAAATAGCTAGCCGGTGGGTGTAATGCGCACGTCGCTTATCATAGTCTCCATCATTGTTTAAACCCCCCAAAAAACATCCTTAATCTTCCGTTTACGACATATTTAATATAAAATTTTAAAGGAATTATTATTTTTAATAAATATACTTCTCTCTCTCTCTGCCGGCACTAAGCCTTCCAAAGCACCTCTGCTAGCACCATTATTTTATTTAGAGATTTGCTACATGTATACGGTATACACCCCCTCCGGAGAGTGTCAACTTCGGTGTACATTTAACATTTCTCTTTTATTTATTAGATCAATAAAATTAGTTGTACAACACGTGTTTGTCAAATTCGAACCTTTGATATAAAAAATAACTTTTAAAATGAATTTAATGTTATCAAATATGATGTTATTAACCAATATTGTCTACTCCATAAATACTTGCTTCATCACACCAATTATTTTGTATGGCAAATTTGCCCTTCATCCTCGTTATTTCTTTGTTCTTGCATCATTTTCATTTTCAGACGTCAACCACGAACCATTTTGTAGACATGCCTAAAATCAAAATTATCATAATCTATCTGATCATCAACCCAAACAAACCATCGAGTCGTCGGGTTATTTGTTCAATCGGTGGGTCACTAATTCAATCGATGAATCTTTGTTATACTATAATTTCAATTAAAAAATATTGTTTTCAAACAAATATTTTTATGTCATTTTATTAAAATTGTATGTATATTTCGTTTACATAAATTGCAAGGGTACTACAAGTGTCGCAGTGGTCAAGACTCTATCCTTCAATACATGATGCATGCAATGGTTCAAATCCCTTTCATTTGCAAATGTGGAATAAAACTTTGCTATGGATCAATTTGGTAAAAAAAAACCGGTTCACATTGAATTGGTTCCGATTTTCTATCAACCCATCTGATTCGAACTATTATTAAAGATGTGAACAGTCATTGATCGGTTCATTTGCAAATGGACTAAATAACCTCAATTGGACCGAACCACTATCCCTGTTTCGCAACTCACATGCCGGTTCGATTCTGACAACTATGCCTAAAAAAATTCTTTTAACTTATCTTTTTGACATGTTCTATATTTTTGTTATTTATATAATAAGAAGTTAAAATCTTTTAAGTTGTCACCGCATTATTAAGGTTAAAATGTTTGGTTGTGTTTAAAAGTGAGATTTTTTACTAATTTTTTAATACTTTCAATGTTAAAATATAGTGCCATTATAGATCATAATCCAACATTACCTCGTATTTTTGCTCTGAAGGTCAACACAACGCATTATTAATATGTCATGCATAGTGTAAAAAATGTCAAAAGTGATGCACCATTAGCATCAGTTCTCATCACTTCGCATTTCAATCCATATGACCTCAAAACAGTAGAAAGTCGACATCTGAGAATCATCAAAACCATAACGAAAATGAAGATGTGTGGAGCTAGATGATCTCGATATCTTATGGAAGAATTGAACTTATTGTTTAGCAATAAGCGGTTTGATTTCCTAATGCATCTACCATGGAAAAAGAAAGTCGAGTGGGTGCAATTGAGATCTGTCATCACAATTAGAAGAATTTGGGCAACGGACACGTTGCAACGTAAACAATGATTGTTGCTACACCTCTTCTAAAGAGGCTCCAATAATGGCCATGTGGCAGCCAACTAGCAAGTCCAATCAGACCACCCTCCACATCACTATCCAACCTGACCTAGTCGATGTCGTATATTAAGGTAGTGGAAGCGATACATCACTTTAGTCGAGGTGATATAACCTTCTGTAGAATAAATCCGAGGCAATTAGTGTTTCATGAGAGAAGATATTTCATACTTCATTTATTCTATGAGATCTTCCATACAATATATCTTATGATTGAATGGTATGACATCTACGTAGAAGACGCCTCACAGTTAGCTTGTCAATCTACTTTCCAGAGATCAGGGCAGGTTATAGGATGTATGCTTTATTAAACGTTTTTGAACCTAGGATTGACAAAGTGACGTATAGGAAAAGATAAATGATTATCATGATGAGGCCACGTGTCTTTTCGTCTAATGGTTACCATCTATCATCTATAAAAACTCACACTTTGTGCTATATGAAAGTAATGTAATTTTACACGTTCAAGTAATATTGCTCTCATTTTACTCTCATATAACTCCGTGCCCAGTACACTAAACAATATACTTTTTCTTAGCACTTAATCGCCTTTATGTTATGGATTTCATTGTTCAAATCGTGGCTCAAGTATTCCAAATGTCCTACACCCATATATACTCACACAAGCCTGTCTAACTTAATCGTCAAGTGCTCGTGGACACCTCCCCAATCATCAGAGACGGTCATGTGCTCCTAACTATTCGTCCAAATGTGCGGAGAAAGGCTACATGGACGTGAGCCAAGCCAAAGTTTTATTGGCCACGTCATTCGTCCAGAAACCAAGGTCAACAATGGTTTCTATTAAGTTCGAATGATTTCATTTTCAAAAACTAGAAAGGAACTGTTATTGTCTTCAAGGACTCGACTCGCTCTTCCATTCATTGGTGTGTTTGGCAAGGACGTTCTCTCGTACTCTTAAAAAAATAAATTTTCATTAATGAAAAAGTAAATTGAAGTTAATATTTATTTAAAATAAATTTGATTTTATTTTAAAGGAAGGAGCCCTTTAGTCGGATATTTCCACTTCTCCAATCCAAAAAAAAAAACATCACACAACTTCATTCAGTCTCCCACACACTGACACGCAGAGTCCTTTCTCTCTCTTCATCCTGAATATGCTCCACGCACAACTTTTCTTTTGAGTTCGATTTTACCCTCAACCTTTTCCAAGATTGCGTTTACTTGCACGAAATTTCAAAGTCTTTTTGGCAAATCATAGGGTTTCTTACGTTCTTTCGTATACTTCGTACCGTCTCGCTGTTTTTAATGAAGTGCTATATCTGGACAAAACGCACAGTTGATTACTTATAATTTTTTAGAGAGAGAAACAAACACAGGAGCCCTCAAATCACCACACTCTCTTTATAGTTATTATCCGCACTAATCTAATATATTACACACTACATTTTCGAATTAATCTCTCTGAAATTCTCTCTCTACTTATAATTGTTTATGTAATTAATCCGCGGTCTATGCAGTAATTTCTCTTTGAGGTGTTTGTATAAATGCTTATACCGGAGGAATAATAAAATTGGGCGTTTTGTGTATTTGATGTGCGAAAGAAAAAGCGTATAGATCGGACATGGAGGAAGTTTCCGGCGAGGGAAGTTTTAGCTTGACGCCGGAGCTGAGTTTCGGCGAGGCAAACGACAATGAGCGGCCTAGTGAGGCTCCACAGGCGACCCCCTTAACGATGTCCGCGTCATTTAGGGACGGAGGCAAGAGCTCGTCGCGGCGGAGGGCGGCGGTCCGACCGAGTTTAGATGCAGATGAGTTCTTAAATCTGCTACACGGGTCGGATCCTGTGAAGTTGGAGCTCAATCGCCTCGAAAATGAAGTCAGAGGTGAGTCCATCCCAACTGGATCCGTTAGATTTGTGTTGTGGTTTGATTTGAAACGCTGTTGTTTTAGCTATATCGTGTATGTCTGAAAAAAAAAAAAAATTTTGAATAAATTAATTTTTCGACTAAATTTTACTTGAAAGTGGCATTTTGTTTTCGGTTTGTGATTTGTAGATAAGGATAGGGAATTGGGGGAAGCGCAATCTCAGATCAAAGCTTTGAAGTCGAAGGAGCGTCGTCGTGAAATAGCTGTTGAAGAGGTCCCATTTTTACCTCCTATGTTTCCTTTCTAAATTACATTCAGAAAGTTTATTTGTTTTCTGGTTTTAGAAATTGTTAATTATTCTTGTCTAGTCTTAAATTGTGTTAACCACTCAATGTAAACGCTTAGGAGGTTAGAGAGCATACATATTTATTTAATTGCCGTCTTCTCCATGCCAACTCACGGGCACCCCTGATACATATTTCATAAAATACCTGACACGTGGCGTGGGAGAAAGACCTTGCTCTTGTACAGTGTTAACCAACTCATTAAATGCCAAAACGGTTAGAGAGGGATGTTTATTTATTTAAATGTTGTGTTCAACGCGTTGTATGAAGCCGGGAAATTTAAAGGTTGATCTAAAATTTAGTAGTTTTTAAACATGTTAATATGCAAGGTTAGTAAGTTTTGGTGACAATGTAAAGAGTTTGCAATATATTAGTGAAGCTTTTGATCGGGAATTCAACTTCTAACCTCAAATTCCTGGGGTCGTGGGACTTTGTTTCTTGAATTGGACCTTATTAGCTATAAAATAGTTTCTAGTGACAAGGGAGTATAAGAAAAGATTCTTCTTGCTTTGACATGGACTCTCTCTTTACGTACTTAAGTGGTAGCAAACTAGTGGAGGAAAGGTTTTTTTCATTTTCTATTTTTCTATTGGCTCTGGTTTCAAGTTCCAAAATGAAGACTTTCAAACTCAAGGCTTATGCGTTGTCACCGATGTTCAGTGTTCACTTAATTTAGTTTAGTTGCAGTTTCAAAGTATTCAATTACCACCCACTTTAAGTTGTAGAATTTTTTTCACTAGAATTCAGTTTCTTTTTAGTTGATTTCACTCACAGAACACTTTGTGCCATGCCTGGCAATTGCTTCCTGGGCAGATCTGTTTTCTAGAGCATTTGGCACAAGGTTTTTTAAATTGTTCATGTTCCTTATTTCTCATAGGAAAAATGAATTTAGCCTTTTCCCACCTCTCTGACGTTACCTTATTATCATTTAGCATGCCAAAGTTGTTTGGAAGATTTTTGTGATTTCATTCCGATAATACTAGGGGTGCACAAAATGACCAAACCAAACAAGATCAAACCAGAACCAAACAAAACCGAGCGGTTCGGTTCGGTTCTATAAAAAAAAAATTAATGATTCTGCTTCTTAGAATTGAGAACAATTTGGTTCTGGTTTTGGTTCGATTTTAGTTCTAGAACCAAACTAAGAATCAAACTCAATATTTAAATTTTATTATTATATATGTTTACAAAATGGTGAATCACAATTCAAACAAAAAAAAAATCAAAATTCAATTGAAAATCGGCACAAAAATGTCATATGCCTTAGATTTCTCATTTCTCAATGTGGAGATTGGAGACCCTAATTCATTTTGGATACCCAAACCTTAATTCGTTTCTCATTTTCTATCTTTTTTAATTTATACACAAATGAAGATCGACAACTACCACCTACTGTCCACTGTCACGCTCAGCTAACCAAGAACCAAACTTAATATTTAAGTTTTATTATTTTATATATATTTACAAATTAGAGAATCACAATTTACACCAAAAAAATTCAAAATTCAATTTAAAATCAAGACAAAAAAGTCATGTACATTCAACTTCTCATTTCTCAATATGAAAATATATATTTACAAATTAGTGAATCACAATTCACACCAAAAAAAATTCAAAATTTAATTGAAAATCATGACACTAAGGTCACGTACTTTCGATTTCTTATTTTTCAATGTGGAGACTGGAGACCTAGACCTTAATTATTTTCTTATTTTCTCTCATTTTTAATTTATATACACCGACTCTCAAATGGAGATCAACAATTACCACATACAGTTTACAGTCGCGCTCTGCTACCATCATCGCATGGATTTCTGAAATTGAAGCATCAACCTTCATTTTTTCTTCCCCAAATGTTATTTATCTTTTTTTCTTAATTAGTAATGAAATTAGAACCAAACCAAATCAAATCAGGACCGAATGGTTCGGTTCCGGTTTGGTTCCATATCTTTAAAAAAACAATTTGGTTCCATTATCAAAAAAACCATTGGTTCGTGGTTCGGCTTAGTTCTCTTGCAACCAAAACCAAATGGAATCATGTCAACCCCTAGATAATACAATGTCGAATGTTGAGTTTTTAATGAATGTGTACCATGCTGTCAATTTTGGCAAGTGATGCCCTTTGTCAGGGCATAAGTATAAATGACATAGCTAAATGTTGGCCATTTTGTAAAAAAATTCATATTTGTAACGACGCATCTAAATTATTGAATTCCCAAATTCACTATTTGAACTGACGTTAGTCCTCAATGGTAGTCATCTTCCACTCCCAGCCGACTTCAAAAAATGAAAAACATAAACAAAGTTAACACCAATAAACTCTGAAATTTTGCTTTCTTTTCATGTAAATTATTATTTTTACAATATTACAGGCATTATTGTGGTTTGCTTTCATAAAGTTAGCCAATGCAGTATTTTGCTGGAATCTATGTCTCTCATTGATTGGTGAGATGTATGAATAATGGAGCTATCGTTGTGAATTTTGAGTGAAATCAACTTGCCATTTAACTGCAGCTCACTGAAGAATTGGCGAAGGTGGAGGAGAAGCTCAAGTTAACCGAATCTCTTTTAGAAAGCAAGGTACCTATAGATCTTTTGCCTTTCCAATTTATTATTCTAATAAATGTGATTATGCCCATTTTCTCGATGCAGAATCTTGAAATCAAGAGAATCAACGATGAGAAAAAGGCCTCCATGGCAGCTCAGTTTGCAGCGGAAGCCACTCTTCGAAGAGTTCATGCTGCTCAAAAGGATGATGACATGCCTCCGATTGAAGCCATACTGGCTCCCTTGGAGGCTGAGCTCAAGCTTGCTCGACAGGAGGTTTTTGCTCTTGCTTGTTTTATCTTTGGACTTCTGCTTATTTTGTCAGTATGAGGGTTTTCCTAAATAATGTTTCCTTCTTTTCAGATTGCTAAGCTTCAGGATGATAACAAGGCATTGGACCGGCTCACTAAGTCAAAAGAGGCTGCTTTACTCGAAGCAGAGAGAGCTGTGCAGGTGGCATTGGCAAAGGCTTCTATGGTGGACGATCTCCAAAACAAGAACCAAGAGTTGATGAAACAGATAGAAATTTGCCAGGTACTGCAATATTGGAAATAGATTCTGTTTCATTTTGAAGGACCTTTAAATTTTGTAATAGCATGTTCTTCTAGTTTTGACCTTTTCCTAACACGAGATTTCACTGCAATACGAGCGTACATCAGGAAGAGAATAAGATTTTGGATAAAATGCATCGACACAAGGTTGCTGAGGTTGAAAAGCTAACCCAAACTGTACGAGAGCTTGAAGAGGCTGTGCTTGCTGGTGGTGCAGCTGCTAATGCTGTACGGGACTACCAGCGGAAAGTTCAGGAGATGAATGTAATGCGCTACCCCATCCACAAGTTGAAATTTCATTTAAAAATAGGTCTATTGAATTTTCTGTTGCAACTCTAATTGGTGGAATGTTTCTCTTTCTGCTTCTCCAGGAGGAGAGGAAAACTCTTGATAGAGAGTTGGCTCGTGCAAAAGTAACGGCAAATAGGGTTGCAACTGTGGTAGCTAATGAATGGAAAGATGCTAATGACAAAGTGATGCCTGTGAAACAGTGGCTTGAAGAAAGAAGGTTTTTGCAGGTACACTTATTTACTTGCTTGTCCTTACCTGTTTTCCTTATTTCTTTTGAAATGGGTTTATTTTACTTCTCAAGTTTTACTAGTGCCGTTAATAATCATAAGCTGTTCTCACAGGGAGAGATGCAGCAATTACGGGACAAGCTTGTTATAGCCGAGCGAGCTGCAAAATCTGAAGCACAGTTGAAGGTAACTGATATATTTGGTGCATCTAATGGAGATTATTATGTAGTTACATGATTTATTTTGAGTTAATCTATTGCTTTGTTCTCCAGGACAAATATCTATTGCGGATGAAAGTTCTTGAAGAAACTTTAAGATCACCGAACACGGCCATTCGCAGCACTCCGGATGGCAGAAGTTCAAGCAATGGTTCTTCACGTCGCCAATCATTGGGTGGAGCTGAAAACATATCTAAATTGACTTCCAATGGCTTTTTACCCAAGAGATCTCCATCCTTTCAGCTGAGATCTTCTGGGAGCAGTACAGTGTTGAAGCATGCAAAAAGTACATCAAAGTCTTTTGATGGTGGCTCACGATCTTTGGACAGGGGTAAAATCCTCTTAAATGCAATAGGACCTAATTTCAAGCAAAGTCAGTCCTGTGATGGAACTAAGGACACCGAGACACAAACTAACACTTGGAAAGGAAATCAAGATGAAAAACCCAATGATCTGCAAGTAACAGATACAGAGGATACCGTGCCAGGGCTATTATATGATCTGTTACAGAAAGAGGTGGTTGCCTTGAGGAAAGCTGGTCATGAAAAGGATCAGAGCCTGAAAGACAAGGACGACGCAATTGAGGTTTACTTTGTTCTTACTGACATTATCTTCAACTTTTTTCTTTTTTTTGTGCTTGAAAATGCTTGTCTTTTTTGATGATCAGATGCTAGCAAAGAAGGTAGAAACTTTAACTAAGGCTATGGAAGTTGAGGCTAAAAAAATGAGAAGGGAAGTAGCCGCTATGGAGAAGGAGGTGGCTGCCATGCGTGTGGAGAAAGAACATGAAAGTAAGGCTAAACGTCTTGGCAATTCTAAAAGTTCAGTAAACAATTCTCAGGGGCTCCCTGGAAGGTATGCCTGTTCTTTGCAATGTTACTGCCTCTCATAATACCAAGTGTTCAAGATGGGTTCAAATTAGTACTTATCTTTATCTGTTTACTTTGCCTCTGGTTGCGAAGAATTTTTGAACAATTTAATGTATAAATAGACATAAATGAGTTGTAGATAAGTGAATAGTGCTTGTGGGTCTATTGGAATGTGTGGTTGAAAATGAATTTGACCATTATAAATTATTTGTAAACTTTGCCAAATGGAGGCTATGTCTTTTGAAAATAACTGCCATTATCCTTGTCATGTCTTTCCTAGTTAGTTATGACTAGGCTTAAGTTATATACAACCATTTTGCACCCTATCTTTGAAGTGTGCCTAAGTTATTTATTTAATATGAGTAAATATAAATTTGATAGTTACCAAAATAGAGAAGGTGGAACTTCTTTGGAGCATGGCTTTCTTGGATGAATTAGTTGTTTGAGTACTATTAGCGTAATAGCCCTTGGTAAGCAGTGTACTTCTGAGTGGAATTCGGCCGAGTACTTGTAGTTCTTCTCCTATCTTCAGCTTTATAACAACGGTTGTTTTCAATTTATGATTGTTATCTGCCAGTCTTGTTTTGCCTGGGGGAAGTTGAATTACTCAAGGGACCTGAAAATTGTTTTTGAATGTTGAATCATTTGCAAATGAGATAAATTGAAACTTGAAACACATGAACTTTCAATAGGACCCTGCTATTAATATTTCATGCTGGCTTGAATTTGACTCAGATTCGACGAAAGAACTACACATATGTTGATCTTCTCTTCCAAATCCAGAATATCTCTGGTTGCCAACTAATACATTTATTATGCAGGACTTTATCAAGAAGTGGATCAGCGCGTAACACGCAATAACAAATAGCCCAACTGCAATAGCAAGGAGCTGTTCTGCGTAGACCTTGTATTGGGTTCTTAGTTCACCTGCTTCTCTAAAATTTATCTTTTTTCATGATTGATGTAAAACTGTGAAAAGCATGCCAATGGGTCTTCGTCTGGCAAAAAGGTAAAATTTCGACAAAGCTGAAAGCCACCGGGAAAACTTGGTATGCTTCTGACTTAGAATGTGTGCCCTCTGATTAGAAATCAAGAAACTGAGGATGTGCAAGTTTAACTAACCTTTTGGCAGATTTATTTCTAGTGGAAGTTGTAATGTTGTATAGGAATCTTGTTGGCATTTCCTATGCCCAACCTTTTTCTTTCATATTTGCAGTCTATATTTGTAATCTGCAGCTAGTGTGAATGTCGTCCCCTGGGTTTGTTGATATTTTTATATCAGATAAACATCAGATTTCATCTATCTTTTTCGTCTATAATTTTTACATCCCATGTTATTTCTATGTTTTCTTGGTAAAACAATTTTCACTTAAAGATTTCAACGTGAATAGCATGTTCGGTTGGTTGAAAGGATTCGAGATCCAGGGCAGTATTATTGAAGAAAAAGACACGATGATGTATTGGAAAATTCAGAAAAGGAACTGTTATTATTAATATTCTCATATTTTAAATTTAAGGTTGCTGGATCTTCCCGAGGGTGACGATCTGCGAACGTCATCCAGTTGTCTACATTCCTTAGTCTGGTCAAAATATTTTTCCCTGTACTGCTTTAGCTTTGTCAGATTACTGTACTGTCTTCACATGGGTGCATGTGCTTCAGTGCCTGTGAGAACTTTCATGAGTAGGACATTGCTTGGAATGTAACGCAAGAAAAAATTGGAACTGGAAAAAGGTCGGTACGTTGGCATTATAGCATGTCCAAAAACTAACAGAAATACTAAGAAAAACGACACGTGGGACGAAGCAGCCGGTGGCAACTGACAAGTAGGAGCCGGAGAGGGGTGGTGGGGAACGGTGATATTATTTGTGTTTACTCATTTGTCCTTCGAATAGTGTTTCACGAGGTACCGGATCTTTCTATTTGTTCAGTGGGATTGAAGTTTTACAAAGCTAACAGGTTGGGATCCAAAAGCTGAATAAAATAGATTGGGGATCCAAGTAGTGCATCACTTTAAGGTTTAGGGACTTGAGATGTAATTATTCCTGAATTCTAGTATATAACAACCTTTTCTATTCAAGTATTGTAGAAGCTGCTGGGTTGGGCTATTGTTAATTAAAAGCATAAAAATATGAAACGTGGAACCCTAGAAGATGCAATGAAAGATGGGCATTCCGAAATAAAAGAAGGGTGATTGCAGTAGAATACGTGGACTTGTCACAAAATTAAGATTGTGAGCTAATGTGGAAATTAGGACCTGTTGACCACCAAAAATGAATTAACAGATGTTGGGTTCACTCACGTCAAGTCAAGTACGATTTCGACTCATTCCTACCGGAATGATGATGGTATCAATGAGGAAGTGGACGTGGGAGGTACTTTGCGGCGAGAGACAAAATTGTTCAAGTTTCGGTGGGTGGAACGAAAGCAATCGCACTAGTAATGATCGCCGAGTTAAAACCAACTAATCTATGTAACAAACATGAATATGTGGAATGATAGATGAAATGTTAATATGTTTCTTTCAAGAGTTCAAATGTATATTTCAAATTTATGATTGTCCGTTGTCCTCTATCAAATGATCCAACCTCTATTCTAATTACAAAGAGGACCTACTTATACTGTAGTGGCCGACGTGGTGGTTGTTATATCAGAACCACGTGGCCTCATCTCCCTAATTGGGACATCATATTATTGTTTATTCATACAATTAATACAATGATAAGGGGTCAGCCGCCCTATACAATAAGCTGACATACTGACAACTTTATTACAAGTGTCATATCACTCACTTCTAGTAAATCCTTAAATCTATTACAAGAGACATCGTCGGCTTAATGGACTTCAGACGAGTTGGGGAGAGCCTCGGGTGGATTTGAGCTTTGCCATTGAAGAAGTGCCTCAGACTAGGCTTCATCAGGCTGCGTGAGAGCTTCGGACATTGTGTGAGGACTTCGGCCCATTTGTCTTATTGGTATTTTTGACCTATTGGGTATTCCTTTTGACTTTCTTGTTGACTGTCCGTCCACGTGTCGTACCACATGGCTTCATTTCACCTGGCCTCAGAGGCGAGGAGTAACATGATCTATTGTAATTGCATGTCACATTGTCAACACTCAATTTGGGTACATTCTCTTTACAAGTTAAGGAGATGCAAGAGAAGGCTAAAGGGAGGGGGACTTGCTAGCTTGGTGAGGGACCACTAAAGCACAATACAAGGGTAAAACCTTGAGCTTTTATGCAGTAATTCAAGGAGTTCAAGTATTCAATCTTATTTGGTTTCTTTATCTCAAGAAAAGATTTCTTTTGCGAATTGAAGCCATGAGCCAACACATGTATGGGTTTAGGAGGATCATCATATACTCTTTGGGATAGATCATTGTAGGGGGGAAGGGAAATTCCAACCTCCTAGACAGGAGGTCCTTGGGTCATTATTCGCGGAATCATTCTTGATTGAATAGCTTCTTTCACATTTACAACAATAGATGATAGATCCCCGTCACAATTTCCCAAAAACTCCTAAATCAATGCTTTAAATTGATTTCCACGTCCCTCTTCTACTGAAGCCTCGCATTGAGTTAAAGCGTGCAAAGTTAAGGTTGAACCCCGACGTTGAGGGTCCCCCACCGCCCTGCCCCTAGAGTATTGTGGAAGAGGTAAATTGTGGGATTTATCTCAACAGCAGGCCAAAGTATAAGAGCTGTCATACTTGTACCCACAAGATTTTCCAATTCCATACTTTGTAAGATGCAAAAATCGGACCATCACACTGCGACTGCCAGCTCAATTGAGACTACCTCATTCCTGTCCTTTGTTCCAACTTTATATTGTGTAGCATATAGTTGGAAGGATACCCAACAAAAATTTTCCTCAAATAATTTTATCTCGTTCAGCAAATTTAATTGCCACATAAATTTCAACCAACTTTCGAGCAAGTCCGAGACTTCAACAACATAATTGTGATAACCAGTTGGTCACCCGACTTCACTGTATATCCATCTTTATATTAATGGAGACATTGGCAAAATAAGCTCATTGTCAGAGAGAAGAAACATTTATGTCTGGTAGATCCTCCGTCACAAACAAAAGTTGGTCGTCATGACTGAACACTCTTACCTTAATACCTCATGCCTCAAAATTTATTTTAAATTATGCTTTGTAGAATATTAAAATCAAGAGTGTCATTAATTGATATACTATTTTAACTTATGAATTGATGTCAATTAATTACCCAATAAATCGGTGTTTAGCGCAACTTGTGCTACATTTTTGTAGTTGGATCCGCTCATGAAACTTGTCTTTTTTATCTTCTACCTTACATTAATCTCTGTAAAACAAAAATTACCAAAAATAATTAAAATATAGTAATTAAAAATAATACTGGCTGCAACAAATTCCCACGTCCTCGACCATCTTTCCCGGTCTCTCTCTCTCTCTCGGATTTGCTTCACCAAATCTCACATTTCCATTATTCCACTACATTACGTCTTCATTTTCCACAGATCCATTTATTTTTGGAGATCATTTCACTAAATAATCCGAGAAATGGCAACAATGGAGAGCTTGATCGGTTTAGTGAACAAAATCCAAAGAGCATGCACTGTGTTAGGCGATCACGGAGGCGAAGGCTTGTCGCTTTGGGAAGCCCTTCCTACCGTCGCCGTTGTTGGTGGTCAGGTAACCGTCTCTCCCTGATCAAATCAATGTATTTTGCTCATTTCACTACTTTCTATATATATATTTTTTGGCTTTTGATAGTGTATCAATCTTTTTTCATTTTTGATTATTGGAATAGAGTTCTGGAAAATCATCAGTATTGGAAAGCGTCGTGGGGAGAGATTTTCTGCCTCGTGGATCGGGTAAAGTTTTGACACATTAGATGATTTTATTGGAATAGAGTTATTTATTTATTTATTTTTGTTTATATTCGGCATTGTCAGATTGCAAATTATCCTGTAACTATAGTGCATTCTTTTTGTCTTGCTGGAAATGAGCACTTCGGATTTTGATTTAATGGACGTTCTAGAGACATTACTAATGTAGTGGAAAATGTGGACATGATGTATTGCTTTAGTATCAAATTAGTGAAGATTTTTATTCCCCTGCTAACACAATGCTGGTAATGATTTTTAGTAATTAAACATGATAGTGTTTGCTGGAACTCACTCACTAAAAAGCTTTAGCCTAAGCTATCAGAGGTGGACACATTTATTTATTAAAATTCAGTCTTCCACATGTCTCCAAACATGCTGGCTGGATTAACTTTTCTTACCAAAGGTGTGACCTGCACATTTTCTTCATAAATAGGCGGTGGCCTTCTATACACCTACTATGTTAAGCCACCCATCTAAAGGTTTAAACTGTTAGAGAAGGAATGTGTTTATTTATATAAATTTGGTCTTGAATAGTGTTATATTCATTTACCTCGTGTTGTAGTGTGTTTACGTTGTGTACTTCTCCTTTTAAAGAAATTTCATCATTGTGTAAATGTGTTCTTATTGTAATCTTTTAAGCTGTAAGGCATTGTAACGAGGAGGCCATTGGTGTTGCAACTCCATAAAATTGATGGACAGTCAGAGTATGCAGAGTTTCTGCATGCGCCAAAGAAGAGGTTTACTGACTTTGGTAAGTTGAAACTTGGAAATTGAAGTTTGACCATCTCTAGGTCTCAAAAAATGTCATTAATTTACTCAAAGCTAATCACTTAGCTATTTTACCCCATTGTTCTGATGGTTGTATCCATTTCAATAGTCACAAGTTATTTGTTGTTTGCAAAAAAGCTTCATCAAGAAAGTTGCAGGTGTATGTGTAGTCTTTTTCTTTGTCTCTAGATGTAATTCTAGATAGAGTATCCTAATGAGTATCCTAATGTATAGAGAGGATTTTATTTTTATTTTTATTTTTAAATCTATCTTTTTGCTGTTACAATTTCTAATGCAACTCTTGAATATTGGAACTGAGAATAGGAGGTATATAACTTAAACTGAGGTTGCATGGTACCTTTTCGTGAAGGATGGACGAAATATTGTCAACACAAAGAGTCCACTGAGAATTTTGTTTATGTTTTGATGATATGACCTATTAGCTTTTGTCAGACCTATGCATCTAACAAAATATTTTGGACTAAAAAGAGAGTTCTTCAATTGTTGGAACAATCAAGCCTGTTTTGGGGCTATGTGAACCTTATACACTCCAAAACCTTCTTCAACTACGAATGCATAAAACTAGTAAAGTAATTCTAATTCTAACAGGAAACCTGAAATAAATATTGTCCCCTGTTTGGCCCTCATTTATAAAATTCATTTTTTCCAGAACTCATTTTCAACCTCACATTTCATGGGACCCACAACTTTTATCAACTTTTCAACCACACATTTCATAAACTTTTATCAAAATATACTAAATTTGATTTTTAACTAAACCAAAGAGGGGCTTAATTAACTCACCAAGTTCAAGTTCAGCAAGATTAAGAATATCAGCCCAAGTTTACACTAGGATCTGTGTTGAATTCGCTTTAGAATTACATTAAATAATTTTACTGCATTGATATGTTGGTAATGTATTCAATACTATGTTTTATTCATCACTAGGTATTTTTTGGGTTGTGCAGAGGCTGTGCGAAAGGAGATTGCTGATGAGACTGACCGCATAACAGGGAAGACCAAAGCGATATCTAATGTTCCAATTCACCTGAGCATTTATTCTCCTAATGGTTTGTTATCAGTCCTTCCTTATCTACTTCTTGAGCCTCGATTATATCGTCGAATAGTGGAATTCAGGGAATACTTAAGATTCTATTCGGTAGCCTAAGCTTCTATGATGTATCTTTTTTCTGATCTTCAGATGATTTGTTCTCTGTTCTCAAAAACATTTTGTCTTGACAATGTGGGGTGATGAATATTACTGTTATCATATCAAATACTAAATTGTTACTGCATATTCATGTTACCACAGCACAAACTGATGCACGTTCTCTTGGAAAAAAAGTGTTTATGTGGTCATGTTATTTAGAAGGAATGCTATAATAGTGCATTCTTCATTTACAGGTTCATATAAGGCAGATGGATACCTTCGTTTTAATAACAAACTACGCCTTATTCCCAATAAATTTGGAGTCGGCTCCATGAATCCTTCCTCTCCATTCTGCTCGACTTCTTTGTTTCAACACATGAAAATAAATGTTTTCTAGTTATAAGCACTGGAAATTTCTTAAGAGTGAAAATATAGGAGGTCAGATCACCGAAGTACAGTAATTCATTTGTGCTAGGTAATTTGAATGTACAAATTGGTAGATATTTGAAACCAACAGGGTTGAGTGATAGATATCACTTTTGGCATATCCCAAGAAGAATGAGAAAAATGTATAGTTGCAAGCAAATAGAACAATTTAGAGTATAAGCGGTAATAAAGATAAACATACGAAGGAGAGCAGTACCTACATCATATTTTGAACAATCTCAAAATTATTGCCTCTCAAATTTACAGTCTAGTCATCAAAGTTGATATTCTGATTTTTTCTATGCAAAGTCAACTTCTGTTATCTCGTAAAAGACAATCTGATCACATTGCGATCTTCCTTGCTGTTTTCCTGCTAGGAATCGCAAATTAAAATTTGCATTTTCTTTTGTTGATGCCTTGCAATTGTTGGAATTGTTCAAAATATAAAGAGAAACAAATTAATGGTATGAAGACTCTTGCAGCCAACTGCTTACAATTATGAAAAGAGGAGGATCACATCCATTCGTACTTAGGTTGTCAAATGTGTATATATAGATGATAGTTTGGAAGTTATGAACAAGAATAAAGAGAGAATGCTAGCATCTAAACTTTATACTTTTCATCTTCTTGATTGAAACCCTAAATTCCAGAATTCTCCATAGTATTCATAGTTCCTTTTTGGGTTTTCATCTTTGTTTGATGTCAACTCACCAAGCCTGTTGAATCCTCCAGTGTCATAAGCAACCTCAAGAACGAGAGGGGGAAATATCGCTTTTAGGACACTTTTTGCCTAACTTGTTCAAGCCTCCTTTGTTCTGGTTACTTCAATTTGGTTTTGTGTTTCAGTCTAATCCATCCTCACAAAATTTCCAACAGCATGATGGATTCTTTTGCTTCTCAGTCTCTCTCTCTCTCTCTCTCTCTCTCTCACACACACACTCACACACACACTCACCTGTTTTGTCTCCTTAAATTTATTGTGCATGGCTATTAATTGCATGATTTTTTGTGCAGTTGTCAACTTAACACTCATAGATCTTCCTGGGTTGACAAAGGTTGCCGTAGGTAAGCATTTAGCCACTATTTTACCAACACATATAAAAGGAAATAATACTACTTCCACTTATTCTAGTAAATAGCAGCAAAACAGGTAATGACAAAGTTTTAAATCTTGCAGAGGGACAACAAGAGAGTATCGTTGAAGATATTGAGATGATGGTCCGCTCTTATGTTGACAAGGTAAGAATGTGGAAAACAGCTTTTCCTTTCCTGGATTTTCATAGTGCGAAGAGCAAGAGACTTTTAATGCTCATCTGTAGTTTGATACCCTAGAGAGATGATGAGATTTTCAAGTCAGTAAACAGGCAGAAGTAGTCCTACCTTGTATACTGGGCAATAACCATCTGTTTCTGGTTTTAGTTCTTAACTTCAGTATAGAAGTGCTTCTTCACTGTCCTCAGTCATAGATTATGTTTGTTTGGATATCAAGATATGTATTGGCGCATATGCTTACATATATAAGTTTCTAGGACTATAAAGAGAGACCACTTGTTTTATCTTTTCCCCCTTTGTATGCACTTCCAAATATGCACCTATTTTATTTTCTCATGAATGGCAATATTTTTATTTATTTGCATTTCTTTAGTTTCAGATTCAACTGGATAGGTCTGTATAGCTATCTTTTTATTTCTTTTCATATTTTTCTGTTGGCAGCCTAGTTGCATTATTTTGGCTATCTCACCTGCTAATCAAGATATAGCAACTTCGGATGCTATAAAGCTAGCAAGAGAAGTTGATCCGACAGGTATTGCTTTCACACTCTCACCTTTAAATCGTAGTTAGTTGCTTGTTTGTCTCCGTGTATTAAAGTTGGTTTTAGTCATGTGCCAAATTAATGAATCTATTTTTTTGTTTTAATTTATAGGTGAAAGGACATTTGCCGTGTTGACTAAACTTGACATAATGGACAAGGGAACCAATGCCCTAGATGTATGATACATTTTTATCATTGCTTTAAGGATGAAATATGTCATTTTGATTTTGTTGGAATATTAATCCTCATGTTACCAGAATGGATTTTGCCATCCAGTTCCCATTCCTTGAAAATCATGTTTTATAATGTATTGCCTATCTGTTTTCACTTCTATGATTGCTTAAGGTACTTGAGGGTAGAGCATACAAGCTCCAGCATCCATGGGTTGGAATAGTGAATCGTTCACAAGCTGATATCAACAAGCAAGTTAACATGATAGCTGCTCGTCAGAAAGAGCGGGAATATTTTGAATCCAGTCCGGAGTATGGACACCTGGCTCATAAGATGGGGTCGGAGTATCTGGCGAAACTTTTATCTCAGGTCTGCCAACTCCTACCAGAAATGTATTTGATTATCCTCTGGTGGTTTACTTTTTCTTGAACAAAAATCTTATTTTTATTATACTGTTTATCTTCCTTTGACATGTACTAGCATTTGGAGGTTGTCATTAGGCAGCGAATCCCCAGCATTATTGCTTTAATAAATAAGACAATAGATGAGCTTAATGCAGAGTTGGACCGTATTGGCAGACCCATTGGCGTAGATGGCGGGGTAATAACCCAAGCTATCTGGAAATTGTGTTAATTGAGAAGAGATTATTCATTAGCCTCATTTTTAATTGGATGTTTGGAATCTATCTACAGGCACAGCTGTACACAATTTTGGAAATGTGCCGTTCTTTTGATCGTATATTTAGGGAACATCTAGATGGAGGGTAAATCTTCACTTATTGCTCCCTGTATCTTGTTTGCTTATACGTCATGAAAAGTTTTGAGTGTTCTATTTTCTAGTCAACAAAGTTAATTAATTCGTATTTCCTATAAAAATATAGTGAATTTTGGTAATATACATAATACTTAGGTGAGATTCCAGATATTTCTTGGTTGGAGAGGTGTAGAGTGAGATTCTATGGGCAATATAATACCAACTTAAAGGAATCATAGAGGTATTGATATTTTGGAAAAAGGACCTTTTTTGGCAATGATATGATGATATAATTCTATTAAGGGACATTTTGCATGATTTTTGCTTTGCTTTTGCTTTTGCTTTTCCTTTTGCTTCCTGTTGAAGAGCTTCGTGAGGAAGCTACGTTAATTTTGTTTGGAACATAATTTTTAAATAGCTTCCTATTCCAGAAGTGCTTTCAGATGAAGTCACATTGGACCAGTTTCCTTTGAAAGCTCTTTTAAGTTCCAACTAGAGAAAGTATTTTAATAAATTTGCCAAATGTGTTCAAAAACTCCTTTTGACTTCTCAAAAGCTATGCCAAACGGGCCCTAAGCAAGTGTTGGACAAGTTGTTTCTCAGCAAGTTTTTTTGTTTTGGTGATGACATAGATAGTAAAGCTGTGTGGCTGTGCATTGATGGCAACTAATGTATTTTGATCAGTAAGAAACTGGGTTTTTTTCTGAAAACCAATACTTTGAATTGAACCTGGAGTTTTTATGCATTGATGACAACTAATTTTTTTGTTCACACTCCTTTCGGCCGACGATGTCGACGGCGAGCAGCCGGCGTCAGTCCAACAAACCCCTACCGCCTCACGCCACAAATATCCAGCCTCGCTTCTGGCCTTTCGACTGACGATCGGAACCCTAGAACCTTGATTCGCCTGTGCCACGGGTTGAGTGTCGTTCCTACCGGAGATGGGTCGGCGGCCAGTGACGTCGCATCACTGGGAGAAAGTAGTTCCTGTACAGAATCAGCGATGGAGAAGAAGGCCTTGGCTCACGGCTGTCTGCTCCCGATTCAGCCACTTCCAGGCATCCCACCACCGAACGCGCCGGCCAGGGGGCTTGTGCAGGCAATTCCGAGTCCGGCAGGCCAGGCAGCCGGAGTTCAAGTCGACCTGCCGGCGCTTGGACCGGCGCGTGGGACGGCGCGTCGCATCTGAGACCTGCTCAGATCCAATCTGCTGTTCCGAGGCCATTTCGACCATTGGTTTCATCATCTATTGGTTCATTTGCTCAAAATTGTGGGAATCAGTCTCGCACTGGGGGTATAAAGGTCTTCAATTCACGATTTCGTGTTGAGGCAAAGGAGTTCGTTGTGTCTGCTACGGATTCGGGGTTTATTAAGCCATCAGAATGGGGTTCGAAGATATCGGGTGCAATTTGCATGGGCCGATATGGTGCCGTTTGGATGGTGAATATGATAGACAAATTAAGGATGGCTGATAGGATGGAGGACTTTGTTGCTAAGTTTGATGAATCTTCGCGAGCCTTCTTGGCACAACGATGTACTAACAAGCGTG